AGTCAAAGTATTTGTGAGCAAAATACTGATCCTCCAGTTGCCTTAAGTTGAAAGCACCTTGGGAAGGTGCTATGTAAGTGCAAGTCCATTCCACATCCACATTTAAACGATATCAACCAACTCAAGTCAAATTCTGGCCAGTATTTCACCCACACTCTTTCGCTGTCATGTTTCTCATGATAAGAACACACAAAAGGACTAACAGTGATGCTGGAACCCATTGTCGGATGAGAACGTGTTGCATTGTCAGCTGTGGAGCACTGAGGCTGGTGAAATACAGGATGACAACAGGGGGTTTAAGGAAATGTTAACTTGACTTTCCCTGCCAAATGTAAATATGCTGACATCCTTTCTTTTCACATTCAAAAATACATTTTGAGATTGTTTTAGTTTTGAACCCAGCCACTGATGAAGAAGTTCTTGCCTCTGTGCAGTTCTCTTCATGGCATAGCCTGGGACGGTGAAATATGGTAAGGGTGAAGAAAAGCAAACATTTCTGTTAATCCTCCTCCACATTCTTTAGATGAAATGGAAGGATGGATTAGGACAATATGCAAGGTGAGCATATTCACCTTAAATGTACCAAGCAGTGGGGTGAAAACAGTGGATTCTCTCATAACACTTTGCCAACAGGAAAAAAGGAGAGGGAGAAGCAGTCACACCAAGACACTCTCAAGAACTATTCCCTTAATACACACACTACCATGACAACCAATGCCACCGCACACATGGATGCAGCTGCAGCAAAACTTACTCAGCCATTCTTTTAGATTTTAAAAGTTTTCCATTTACCACAAAATTGCTCAAATTTTCACCAAAGAAAAATACCAAAACTATGAACACCAAACCTGCTTACTAATCTCCATCACCTTTTGGGCAGTCCACCAGCAATAATCCAACAATGTATGCTCTTAAATCACCAGCTGTCATCATTGTCAGCATTGCCATGCTGAAAAGCAGATGAAAATGAAAATCAGAAAATTGCCAATCAGATGCTTTTCTGAAGGTTTTGCATGGTGAATCTTAATTCTAACAAGAACATCTCTGATGTAATGTAACCCTAATGCGTGACAGAACCTCCACTATGTTTTACAGGTGGCTATGGGCACTGAGTGTCCTGCTTTCCTGATCCCCTGTGTTTCATACTGATGATGATTTGAACGAGAAATTTCAGATTTGACTTTATATCTCCCTAGGATCTGTTGCATCTGATTATCAGTCTAGTTGTTGCATAATTTGGCATAGTTCGACCCCTTCTCCCTGTTTTCCTTCCTTAACAATGTTTCCTTGACAACCAATCTGATGAAGACCATTTGTGATAAAGGTTTCTGATAAAGTAGCTGTATCGCTCACAAAAAAGAAAAGAAAAAAATCTCTTTAAATATATTCACTATGGAAGAAGATAAACACACTTTTCAATTCTTCGAATTTAAATTTGTACAATTTGTAATGGTGATTATATAAATTAGGACAAATTTAAATGATCAAATAATAAGCATATTGTCTAATTATTAAATATTACAGTATTGATAATGAAATGTGTAACCAAATAAGAAGGGTCATTTTATTTGCAGTCGAGTACAAGAAACAAAGCACTGGAATCACTGTCTCCTCACTTTACTCTCACAAACAAAAGAACAGATGTGTGGTAGTCTACCCTGCCTACAAAGAACACTTGCATTACACATATGAATGACTGGTAAAAAAAAAAAAAACCCACTAATTATTGAGGCAATCTGTCTTTTATTGCACCCTTCATTAAAAATTCCCCCATGTTTAATTAGAACACGTCCGCCACACATGAAATACGCCTGTCACTGGCTGAGGCCCAAGGTATTCAAGCTCGGCAGGATTGGCTGTGGTCTACTGCGCGCTTAAACGCATGAAAGGGATGATGAGAGATGTTTGAAGGGTTTGTAGCAAATGGAGTTGCACAAATATGAAACTGATTTACAGTATGAAATCAGATAATTGAATAAATCCTTTGCTAATTATTTCATCCAATTGAATTTGTTTTCTTTTTTAATTATTATTTCACTGTTTCTAATAGCAAATTTGATTCTTAAAATTACTTTTATATTGTTTTGAATGATCCTAACTTGCTTTGAAAACTTGCTGACCTCGTTTTTTTTAGTTGCAGACTAGTCACCCCTGATAAAGTTACAGCAGTCTTTCCTGAAGTGAAAATAAATAAATCCATTTAATAGTTTGGGTATTTTACAAAAATATCATTCACATGTTTACCTCCTGTACTAGGAGCCAATGACTTCTAGATCTTTAAAATATGCTTTGACCTATCCATATGGAATTGCTTACTTTAAAAAAAGAGGGTTGTTTTTATGTATTACTGTATTACTTGGGTGTCAGATATGTTTTTTTTATTGTTCTAAACCACATAATGTCTTTTGTGCCGCTGTGCACAATCTTTTTTAAAAAAATCAAAAACAAAAAAAATGGTTTCCTTTTTTACATTCATTTGAATTGTGTTAGCAGGGGAGTTGGCAAGGCAAGGCATTTAATTAGTGTGGTTATTGTTGCATGTATTCATTACAGCCCGCTTCCTCTACTATCTCTCTCGTCGGTGTAAATCTAAGGCTGACAGAGCTGCAGTATGACACACACAAGAGCAGACGATCATTTTTCTTCATCACAGGTGAGTGTCATTTTTTAACCTGTTTTTCTATGAGCGCTAGTGAAGGAAAATTGTTATAATAAACAAAACGGTTTATTTAGTGAGCGCTAACCCTGACTGAAATGTTTACAGCTTTAAATAAGCTTAGTTAAACTGTAACCAAGTTGTTCTTTGTTCTGATAGAATCCCTGTGATGTTGTGAGTTGAAGCATTTATATTCGAGATGAAAAATGGAGCTTCACCCCTATATAATTTGTAATTAAGATTGTGCAAAATAATGCAAGTGCTTTGTTTGATCATTATGACAGAAAGATGTGAAGAAGAGAGAGATAAAAAGTAAAAAATACATAATCCTTCACCAGGAATAATATAAATCAACTGACAGATCATTTTGTGGTAGATAGGACTATTATCAGACCCAGATGCAAATATATAGCTGTTGCACAAATGATTATAGGCTGGACGTACAATAAATAGAATAATGAGAGAATGAAAAGATCAAATGATGTGTGCAGGGCCGTGAACATGACTCTTCCTACACCTTTTAGCTGAATGCTGAACTGCCTTCTATTTCTTTGATGAGGTAGGTGCTACAGTAAAACTGCTTTTCCAGAATAAATGGTCAACAGTGCAAATAAATAGACTTTCTGATACAGCAAAAACCAGTATGTACATAAAGGTATATAAAATTGTACTATAAAAAGTTGAGAAGTGTTTTTTTTAACCCACTAATTGCAGCAAACAAAAGAAGACAATCATTATCAAAATGGTCCAAGTAGTAGTAACTTACTACTGAAAGTTAAAGCAGCTGAGTTATGTGTGGTATCACTTGTTGTGTTAATCTGTACAGTAATGTGCATAAAGACCAGGAACACACCTCATTAAGATAAGCTCTGTGACCTCAGCACTTATTCAAGATACTTGTTCTATATAACAAGTAATTCAAGTTGCAGTATTTACAGTGTTGATGGGTGTAAAATGGTTTCAAAAAAGGTGTTTTGTTTAATTTTTAAAATGGGTTGGTCAAGAACCAGATAGAGGGGAGCATTGGAAATAAGTATCAGTCCAAACAATGTCTTAATACCTCCTACCTCGACATGGATTACAAGACATGGTTGCACTGTAATACTGTAATTTTGCTTGTTTGTTTTCATAAAAGTGACTCTAAATCCACCTACTATTGGAGAATTTGGAGAATTCACTTCCCTCTGAAGGTATTCAAACTACTGTCTGATGCATTAAGCCTTTTTTTTAATGTCCAGTCGTGATTTTGTAAATAAAATGTAATATAACCTTTCAATCATTATAACAACATCTGTGTTGATTAGAAGACCACCCGGTATTGTTAGCCACAGCAAGCAAAGAGATTGCGTGTTAGATACGTCCCCTGCTCTGAGAACAAGTTTTTCAGGCCCATGGTCTCTTGTGATTTATATGGCAAACCAAAGTTCACTGTTCAAAGATTTACTGATAAAAAGTAGCCCCGGAGCTGCATTTCAGCCTGAAACAAACAGGATTCTGGGTGGTTTGTCCACTTTTTCATTGTTAATGTGCCATAGAGTGGTGCTATGAAATGTCTCGAAGTAATTATTTCCAATTCTCTCTCTATGTTTTGACAGGTTTGATTAGGCCATGGATAACAGCACCTTGGGATGGCTCGGAGATGATAACACATCTCTTCAACTTGAACTTCAGTCGTGTACTTTATTGAGGCATCGGGTCTCTCGCATTTTTCTGTATGCTTTCCTCTCGGTTGGCATCATCTGCACAGTTGTGGGCAACTTCCTGGTGGTCTTGTCCATTGCTTACTTCAAGCAGCTGCAGTCCCCCACAAACTGCTTCGTCATGTCCCTGGCGGTGGCTGACTGCCTAGTTGGCCTTGTAGTGATGCCTTATAGTATGATTCGAACTGTGGAGGGGTGCTGGTACTTTGGTTCTCTTTTTTGTCGGATACACTCTAGCCTAGATGTTATGCTCTGCACTGCCTCCATATTTCATCTCAGCTGCATCGCCTTCGACCGTTACTATGCTGTCTGTAACCCTCTAGTTTACTCTTTAAAGATGAGCCACAGGCGGGTTGCTCTCCTCATTGCTGTATGTTGGCTTGTCCCCATACTCATTTCCTTTGGCCCCATTATGCTAGACCTTCATGTTGCTGGTGTAGACATGCTGATTCCTAAAGATTTGTGTGTGTTCTTGGTCAGTCGCATTTATGCTGTCATGGCTTCTTTAGTAGCCTTTTACCTGCCCATGGCAATCATGCTAGTAGCCTACTGGAAGATCTTCAAAGCTGCCAAGCGGCAGGCCAGGCAGATCAGTGCCATGGAAAGCCAGATGGCTGCTGGAGTGGGTAAAGACTCAAGCAAGAAAAAAAGACACAGGAATGCCATGAAGAGGGAGAGAAAGGCAGCAAAAACTTTAGGTATCATCATGGGAGTTTTTCTCATCTTCTGGATGCCCTTCTTTACTGTTAACATCGTGGACCCGTTCATTGAATACAGCACAGAGGTGGTCCTCTGGGATCTCTTTCTGTGGTTAGGGTATATCAACTCATCCCTAAACCCTTTCCTGTATGGTTTGTTCAATCGCTCCTTTCGGAGGGCGTTCCTCATGTTTATGGGCTGCAGGGTATGCCTGCCCGGATCATCCCCAGGGATGGAATTATCACATACTCGAAAAGAGGCAAATGAATGTGCAGAGCAATCCTAAAATATAGATTATCTACAGTATCTATAAATGTAGGTGTAGATATTTCAACAAACAGTGAGGGCTACATTTTTTTTAAATCAACAACATTACTCTCTGACTACTTCAGCCACAGTTTCTGTTAACAGCAAGGCAAAATATGCTTAAAACTGAAAGAATATCATTAACTGTGACCTGTCCACTAATGAGGGTGGGTTTAAAACTATGCCTTCAACCATTATGTAAGAATTTGTTCCCAGCCTATGGGTTCATTTTCATAAAAAATTACATTATTCATTTTTCTTGTTATTATTATTGCATTTGTTTCAAAAGGATTTACAAGAGGAAAAAGGAGCAGATCATAAAGTTAAGTAAGAGTGGGAACTGTGGGAAATAAGCAGTTAGAAGTTTTGGCTAACTTATGTGAATTGTTCTGTCCTTAGAAGATCCTCTGTTAAGTGTAAGGAATGTGTAAATGCAGTAATGATGATGGGTACAATTCCCAATGAGTAGGCAATGTGAAAGGTTAAAGTGTCAAAAGTTGCCTCTCCAGGGTTTGTGTTGAACTAAAACCAACTACATCCTAGGTGCTGACCATTCCCATATTTATTCTTAAAGTAATTTTTAAAGGTCTAAAAAATAGGCCAAAGGTTTTAAATTTGTGGTAGTACTGTTTTTCATCTAATAAGAAAGAGAACCAAAAGATACCTAAATTAGAGGTTTTATGTAAGAGTAAACAATTCCCAAGATCTAAATGGGGGAAACTTTGGAAGATTTGTGAAGCAAGTTGAAAGGAACAGATGAAACTTCACTTCAGCAACATGCAGATTTAAACCTCAGGTAAAGGTAAAGCTTATAGATGTTTATAAATTTGCTCTTCTTTGCTCAAGAATTTGAAACTATAGTGATAAAATTCACTGATATTATAATAAACTCAAAATAAGACTGGCTAGCAAGGACTACAAAACACCCTGACTGAACTGACTGGCAGAGAAGCAGGAATTCACACCAGTTTGAATGTAAGCAGAAGCAAAAATAATATGAAAAACAAAGCGCACAGCACAAATTTGGATGTGTCTTTTGTTCCGCTTTTGCTGGTATTTGCAGTTTGTATAATTCTGCAGCACAATATTTACAATAGCTACTTACACTTACACCCTGAGAGTTTTGAAATAAATACACATTACATGAGAAATAATCGAGAACGAAGAATAAACAAACCCTGTTTAAAAATATTTAAAGTTTAAACATGGTTCCCTATAAGAATAGTTGTTTGCTAATTCCTACACAACCCAACGAAAACAGAGTTTGGATCTCATTGACGTGGCATTACACACTATGATTAATTACACACACCCAGAAACAGTCATACAAAACAACATTTTGTGTGCACGCCTGTGACTGTTGATAAATATTGCAAATTACTGAGTAAAGAGCAGCTCATGTGGATAAAAAAATTGAAATATTTAATATTTTGTAGATTTTATAGATTTGATGTTTATTAGATGTTGTGCTTGACTTTTTCTCACTGTGTGGTCCCTGTAGGACAGCTACAATATTAAACCTTACCTGCTGATACAGCTTCAAGTGACACTTCAAGACATTTAGTCAGAAATATTGTTTCATAAAAAATGACTTTTTTTATGATTAAAATAAATACTTTTACTTACCTTGTTTACTTACCTCCATCACTGATACAGATGCAGTGAAATCTCAGTTTAAGATGGGACAGGAAGAGAAACAGATTTAAGGTAATTAAATACACTATGTGAAAAAAACCCTACTGGGCCACACCTCCTAATTATTATCTTTAATGACATGTTTTCCTATGTGATACAAATGCTTTTAAGGAACTAAGTCTGCGTGCCCTGTCCCAAATACTTTCATCTTGTGTTATTTACTGGATGTGTTCAGTGATGTTAACACAGCTGCTGACGTCTATCACACCTCTGGTTAGCACATTTCGTGAGAGCTAGAAAATGACAATATGACTTATGACAAAGGAACATTTGTAGTAAACCTTTAGTGTCAATATGTTAATTTCTAATCCTGTCAGTGTTTTTATTTGTGTTGCTCAGAAAGTGAATTGAAAGCACTCTATCATATGGTTTCATCACTGTATAATATTGGATGTGATGATGTGCTATGGCTTATCATTACAGCTGTTAATATGTTGATGCAAATATTAGGGTGGCCTTTACAGTGTAACCCAGACCGATACATCAACCATGCAGTAAATCCTGCACATAAAAAGTGACTACAGTGTACAGAGTTCATTCTGTGTGTGCTGTGTTAGGTCAGCCTGTGGAAATATATTGGTCGGGTAAACTTGAGACTTCATGTTGCACGAAGGTCAGTGTGATTGATTATCGGTGCCTTACGAGGGTATTATGAAGTGTATGCTCCCTCTCACCCACTGTATTTTGATAGGTTTTGGGACACTCTGTCCACAAAGACCTAAGTGGGAGAGAAGATGAAAATGTAATAGTAACGACATTGACCGTGAAAAATATGTAGAATGTAAAATAAGATTTGAACTGTAATGCATATTTTCCCCAAGTTGTGCACTTTTGCTTTTTCCAAAGTGAAGAAATGTAACTTTGTGAACAACTTCTCTTCTAAGCCATATTAAGATTAAGATTTATTATATTGAGAAACACTGGATTGTATAAATCAAACCAAGTTATCAAATAATATACACATTTGTGAACACTTACATGAAATTTATTTGGATGCATCATAAATGACAAGATTTTTTTTTACTTTCTAACGTTAACATTATGTGAACAAATGGCAGATAAATACATAAGTAAACCCCTTCCTTTAAAGTAATGATACACAACCTGTAGTAGCCTGTGAACTACAATATACACAGCAGACTTTTCACAGTGTGTATAATAACCTCTTCTTCTTCACCCACCTCCACAGGCTGATGCAGACACAGATGGTCTTGAAACACACAGAAGAGACCTCACTGGACCACGGACTTGATGCTCCACCATGCATCAGCAGTGCAAAGCAAAAAAGCTGTGTCCACTTAATCTCAGCTAAGGCAGCCGTTTTAAATGCTGGTTGTTTCTTTAGTTGTTATTCATTAGGAAACACAGTTTACTGCACCCATGTTTGATATTTGAAAATCCAAAGTTTAGCACATGAATTCCTATCTGATTGTAACATTATATTGTAGATAACAAGTATTTAAACAGAGTCACCAAGTTTCTTGCAGTAAATAAATGTACAAATTTCCATTAATAAAGAGTTAGCAGATTGTACCACATTCAGTATGTGTTTTGAGGTGGTAGATTTCTGAGGATTTGAATGGTGGTTTGTAATGAGCTCACAATGGAAACTAGAATTTTAATCTTAAGTGTGTATGCAATATTTTAATATACCCTAACTTTCCATTTATTATTACTTCCATGGACACAAGTGTAATGGAACCTAAACACGTTGTTTCCATTACCAAAAACTGCTTGCTGGGGTCTGGAGTCAATGTACATCTTTATTACTGTGTATGTTTTTGCAGACAGTTTACTCATTAAATATGTTAAACCTGTCATGTAAAAGGAAGCCTTCTTCATTTCTTTGCTACAACCAAGTTCCTATCATGTTTAATCAACTTTCATCACATATTTCTGCACTGTTCGAGTACATCCTCACAGCAAGCTGTTCTGCAACTTACCGGCACCAGAAAGGTTTTGATAGACGGCAGCTTCAAAAAACCTAATGAAGCACTTTTTTGGCCAATAATGTTATTTAATTCACTGCTAATGTTACAGTAGCACAATCATAGTGAGAACTCAGCAAACTCCTTTTATAATTTGGGATACCTCAGCCTTTTCTCCTTGTTTCCCTTCTGGAAGAATGGTTTATTGAGAGCCACGCTTACACTGAAGTCTACATGGATCAAATGAAGGTCCAGATGTATCTCTCAGGTCCTGTGTCAGGTCTTTGTTGGATGGCTTTTTTTTTTATCAAGGTCTTTTTTTATTGAACAAAAATTATATTTAACAAATATTACAACAGTATTAATAAACAGTTTTGCTTCTTTTCCCCTCATACCTATCCAAAACAATGCAACCAAGGCGCAACCAGTTATGCTGGATGGGTTTTTTTGTCTGTTTCTTAAGGACATGACTTTCAGATAAATTTTTTTTTTATACACCATTTGTCCAGTTTCCTCACATTTCTTTTAAAAACACACTACACACCATGCTGACATGTGCAAAGTTTTAGGCAAATAGCCCCACTGACTCACTTCATTGATGTAAAATATTATTTTATATCTGCCAAACTCTGTCATCTTTACTATTTTTTGTAAACTCACCTACAAAAATGAAAACAAAACATATGTGTACCGCTGGTAATAAAGCACCTAAAGATATAATGAAATTATCTCTGGTTCTTTGCTAAATTGTCTTTTATGTGTAAACCCAACACTGGTTCATCCTGTGAATTAGGTGCCTTTTTGTACTTGAATGATTCATAGGTCAGTGCAGAGTGATTTATAGCTGTCAGCCTGTGTTTGTTACCTTTGGCATTTTTTGTAGATTCAGCTAAAATCGGAATGGGAATACATTTTGTGTTGTTTTTGATAGGCTGCTATTAACAAAGTCAAGACCAGTTTAAGAAATTACAAGAACCGTTTATATGACCACATAAACCAGGGGTGTCCAAACTGCGGCCCGCGGGCCAACTGCGGCCCCCATTTTTAATTGGCCCGCAAGTAATTTTATAAATAGAATAGAATATGGCACGCACTTCAACTTTTGCTTGAGTGTATTGCACTCCTTAGTTTTAACACCAGGGCGAGCCGCTGTTGATCAAGGCAGTTGCTCCACCAAAAAGGACAATCACAGAAGTAATTTACCCCCAAGTTACTAAACATGGCAGAACCAAAGAAGTGAAAGGTAGAAAGTGAGTGCAGAAAATTTCAGACACGGTGGGAGAGTGAATATTTCTTCAAAGAATTCAAGGGGAAGTGTGTCTGTTTGATCTGCACTGAAACTGTGGCAGTTATGAAA